GTGGGAAGGTTTGGGGCCTGGAAAAATGGGTTTAAGCCTGCAGACCATGTGTTGTCTACTCCTGAATTCCAATATTTGAGAAAAGATCTAGAATCTAATTTGGCATGGGATATAATCCAGCACAAAGTTTGTTGTTGTTGTTGCTGTTCTTAATGGCCCCTGAGTTGCTCTTGACTCATGGCGACCCTATGGATGAAACATCTCCAAGACCCTCTGTCCTCCACTGCTCTACTTAATTCCTGCAACCCCATATCCATGACCTCCTCAATAAAGTCCATCAATCTAGCATGTAGCCTTTTTCTCTTCCTATTTCCTTCCACCTTCCCCAACATTATTGTTTTTTCCAATGATGTGTCCATAGTACAACAGTCTCAGTTTGGTCTCCTTGGCTTCCATGGAGGTTTCTGGCTTGATCTGCTCTAGGACCCATTTGTCCTTTTGGTTGTCAATCTTCAGCACACTTCCACTCTTCTCCAGCACCACATCTCAAAGGAGTTGATTTTCTTCCTATCATCTTTCTTAACTGTCCATCTCTCACATCCATACATGGTAATAGGGAATACAATTGCTTGTATGATTCTAACTTTTTTGCTGAGTTGTATATCTTTGCATTTTAGCCTCTTTTCTAGTTCTTCATAGCCACCTTCCCCATTCTTAGTCTTCTGATTTCCTGACTGCAATCTCCATTTCTATCAATGTTTGATCTTAGGTATGGGAATTATTTTACTATTTCTATTTCTCTATTGTCTAGGTTGAACTTGTGAAGGTCCTTGGTGTTCAATATTTTTGTTTTCTTTATGTTCAACATTAAACACTTTCTTCTTTGATCTCCCTTAGTAGTTGCTCCAGGTCGGTGAGGTTTTCTGCTAGTACTACAGTTTCATCTGCATATCTTAGATCAGGGGTCCCCAAACTATGGCCTGTGGGCTGGACCCAGCCCGTTGAGGCCTTCTTACCAGCCCACAAGGCCTCCTGCTGCCGCCGCCGCCACCACTGCCAGTGCCACTGCCACTGCCGCTGCCCCGCCACCACCGCTCGCGCGCACCGTCAAATGCCATTTTGAATTCCAAAATGGCATCCAGAGTCATGTGCATGCATGCTGCATCACACGTGCATGCGCACGACTCCGGTTGCCATTTTGGAATCCAAAATGGCGCCAGAGTCATG